GAACCCATGAGTTTTGTAGTCTTTGTATTCGTCTCTTATCACCTTTTGTAAGACAAATGCAATTTTTTAACCATTTTGTTAATTTTTAAAGGTTAAAAAAAGTTTTGTTAATGTTTAACAAATTATTTTGTTGAAAAGGTTCAACTGACTTCAGCTTCTGCAACTTATGCTTCTGCTTAGTTTATTCTAATTCGTAACGTGTTCGTAACATCTGTCCAGAGTGTTTATAATAATACTATATTACCATAAATTTGTTATTATCTGATTTTCAAACATAAATTAGGGGATAAAGTGAAGTGGGTTAAAGTTACGAAATACATCAGTAATTGTTGTAGTAGTACTGTTAATTATATTGTATCAAATTTCTTTATAATCAGATGATTTTAGAATGCTGTATTATTTAATTGTGTGTATGTTATTTTTGTGGTCATTTATGATGTGTTGTGTTGTTGTTTTTTGTTTAGTTAATTAATAAAGCAACATTATTTTTATTTAAGTTCCCAATTTACAACAAATACTTTTGTTACTGGCTTTACAAAAAGGTTTGTAAAAATAAAGTCCTCTTTTATCATTTAAAAGTACCTATTCAATTAGTTAACAGATTAGCGTTGGTTGTTACCTTAACATAAAGTTATGTGGACATGAATTAACAAAAAATGTGGTTAATATTTGTTTTGCTGTGTAATGGGGTTGGGACATACATTTTATTAATGCATATTTGGAATCTACGCATACGAGTTTGTTATTAAATTTTTTCCCACGTTTCTCAAACAATTTTTGAAAACGCTACATTGTTTTGTAAACCGCAAGATTCAAAACCCTTCGATGATCTTGAAGAGAGATCGTGTCGACACGATGTTATAACAGACATGACGAGAATTACAAATGAATCCAACAGCTGTTTATAGCATGATTTTTAGGTTATGTTTAAAAGTATTTTAATCGTTTGAAAATGACAAAAATTTTACTTAAGTACATACTTGAGGAGCGAATTTTAAATTTTAAGAATAATATTATAATGCTAATGGTTTTATAACAAATAAAAAGGTTGTAACTGTCAAAGAATTTGATTATATTTTAATTTAGAATTTCAAAATTTTTATTTTGCATATACTGCATTCGAAAAACTTAACACGCCTATTATCCCTACCGAGATAATATATCAATTTTTATCATTCATTATTTTTAACAAAAAAGGGAAAGGTTGTTTTTAGTAACTAATATTTGATATCTCTATGTTAGAAGTAGTTTAACACTGATTTTTGATATTATATCCCAACCCAATTAGAACGATTTAAGATGGTTTTAGGATAATTTAATTTCAAATATTTTTAAATTTTTATTTATAAAGGTTTTATTTATTTATGCCAACTCTCTTCTTAATATTTATTTCCAGAACTAATTTATATATTCTTTTTAATCATTTTTGATCAGTTCCATATTCAATAATTTATTTTTTAAATTGTTACATTTTTACAAAATATGTTTCTTTTAACATCTACATATTCGTTAATTAAAATGTATTTTAAAGGTCTTATATATACTATAATAAACTAAAATATTTATAATATACATTTTCCCTTTGGTTAAGATTAGTTTTTATATATAGGCAACTTAGTTTACATTATATTTTCATAGTATGTTGAATATTGGAGGTTATTTTAGGTATAAAAAAATTACGAACAATTTTTAAGTTATAAGAGTTAAAAAAATTAATTTTTATTTTTGTTATTTAAAGGTTTTAAAACTAAAACTTACAATTTGTAAAAACAAAGTCACGATGATTTAAAAAATACATGTATCAACCCGAACTTAATAGGGAAAATTGACAAAACCTGCCCTTTAAATTGCACAAATTAAGTCTTTTTTTCACCACCAACGGCGCTGATTGTCGATGCGTACTGACGTCTAATCTTTTGGTAGCGTTTTGGTACAAATTAAACAATTGTTTAAGAATAAACGTAACACAAGCGCCCTCTTATCTTAGGAAGATTCTTGTTGACATGAAGTTTGGACTCCTTGTGCAGGCTTCATGGTCGTAACAGATAAGATGTTTATTTTGTATCCATAACAACGGTTTTTAGATGTTTGATATAACAGCTTACGCATAATACAGAGCATTGCCAAGTTTTTTAAACTAAAATGCTTAGTACTGTATCAATTAATAATGTAGGAAAGGATATTTTAAGCAATTTTTTTTAGGTCAACAGCCATTTTGCCTTTGGGTGACCAGCAACTATTTTAGGGTAATTTGCTCTTTCAAAAATAATCATCATATTGCTAAATTAGCTCTTGTTTTCGAGATGAAAACATTGTACATGTTTCTATGACACTAAGTGGCCTTCCTAGACTGTTTTTGTCTAGGGTGGCCTTTTAAATACACCTTGACAAGTTGTGGCTTTATACGCTAAAGAAGTATCGGGTTTTTGCAACGCGCGCGCCATCTGGTGGACTTTGGTAGCAGCGCGTGAATTTAAAAATTGTCAAGAATACATTTAGAGCACATATTATACATCATTTTTAAATAAATAGATAGTTTTTTTTCACAAAAGAGAGGAAGGCAGTTCTGCCTTCTAAGTCTTACTCGACAAATTTTGTTCAATTGCACAGCTAAATCGCACACGTTATTTGTGTTTTACGTTGGAAGGAAAAAATAAAAACTTTTTTAGTACTCGATTTCGATTGATTATTCCTTATATCATTGATTTAGAAACTCCACGCTTAAATGCTTATATAGTTACGTTAGTATCTGCATTTTATCTAAGGGATCATGGTGAATTATTGTGTGTTTAATTGTTAATAAAATTCAAGAACTAAATCGTTGCATTTTCATGTTTTGCCAAAGGACCCAATTCGGTAAGTACATTTGTTGGTGCAGAATTAACTAATGAGAACTTTACCTAATATAATTTATATTTAAGTTTGGACATTTTTAAGAAATTAGTAAAAAATAATTTTTGCACAAACATAACCTCAAAATCAACCATTTTTATATTTGAGTTCTCTACAAAACGCCGACCACTGCATTTTAAACAACAAACTATACCAACGAATTCATGGCAACATAATATTATATATAATACATAATATAATGGTATTTTACCGTTGAGTGGAGACTTTCTTAATCAACGCTTTTAATAATGCTAAATGCTGTAAGACGACTCATTTGTCTGACGATTTTTACTGAATTGAAATGTTTACAATTTTCACGTTAATCACTACTAAAATGTGTATTATTGTATCTAATAGGTACAATTTATATTTGCAGACACTGTATGCAATTTATTTCTTCATTCAGATTAACACTGTTTATTGGAAAACCTGTAAAAACTAAACCCAGGATTTCCTCTAGAAATACACCCAACAACAAAACAAATCGAGCCACGGTTTTTTTCCGATATTTTTTAACATTTTCCGGCTTTATTCTCAAAAACACTCGTTTGTATACAAACGAGTGGTATTACATAAGCGTTGACAGCTGATTTTTAAAAGTCGTACTTTTGTTACGATGGTAAAAGCCGAGTGGTGGCGCTACTAGCGATACTTTTTTAGCGTATTGCGTTTTAGTCACGGGCTGAAGTTAGCAACAGGTTTTTAGTCACATGCTGAAATAAAGTGTCCTTGTAAAATAATATTAATTGTAAAAATTATTTTATTATCAGCACATGATGGCAGACTTTCAAAATAGATTCAAGAAATTCGCTGAAAAGATTCTTTAGTGGCTTCAAAGTGTTAATGACCGTGTAGTTAGTTTCATCGACTGTTTCGTGTATTTATTACCTACCAGTAGTGCGCTGTTACTTTGGGTTGAGCCGGTACAGTAACTTTGTTTTTTTTTTAAATGAAAGCCTTGTATTATATAATACAAGGCTTTCATTTAAAAAGCTATTGCATTTTTAAATTCCCCGTAAAATTCTAAACATTTTTGACAGACCCAGAGAACAATGGTTTGGGAATTAGTCAACTTTTTCTCAACTCAGTTTGGTGTACGATGTTTTAAATTTATTGGAGTTTATTTTTACATATAAATTGTATTTTTAATGTTGGACTAAAAAGTTTGACCAAAAAACACAAAAACTGCATGAAAATAAAGACTTATGTAAAGTTATTTTAACCTGATATGGTTCTATAGGGACTAACTAAAATGTAAGTATTACTAACAATTGTAATTTTGATAAGTTTAATAGTGTTTCAAAATGTTAGACAGGGTGTCTGGTATTTCCGTTTACTTTTTTGTCGCTCTAAATGCCAATAACTTTTTTTTATTTTAAATTGAACAATTATAAAAATCCACACCATTCGACGCGAAATATTGTTCTTTATTTATATGTAGCATACCCTAGCTAAAATAAATATTTACAGAGATACCAATATAAGAAAGTGTGAAAAAACTGACAGTGTTAAATAAAAAATTGGTTGTTTTTTAAACTTAATCTCAACAACTTCGGAATGTTTTATTAAGTTTGGCCAAAAAGGTGTGATCGTCTAGTCTAATCAAAACGGTAACCACGTTGTGTTATTTTAATAAGTTTGGTTAATATTTATCATTTTATGAATAAGTTAGTTGCAATTGCAATCAGGTTTACAAGTTTAATACAGGTTTATTTATAGGTTAGCGGGTTTATTCGTAAGGTTATATGCTGAAGAATTTATTTTTAAGTTTATAGTAAATTTAGATTCCTATAAGACAAGTACAGAAACACACAGAAATACTTAATTTTATACAGCAGAAACCTTCATTTTTATTAATCCTATTACATGGCGCCATAAATAGAAAAATAATAAGGTAAATAGTAAAAAACTATATAATAGTATCAACTTGGTTATGGCCTTTGTAGATCACTTAAGGTAGCATATCATCCAAGTAGATAAGGGGCTACCTTGCACAACCCAAAAAAAAACCACAATGTTTTTCCTAATTTGTATTTTTAATAAAACCAAATAAAATAACTTAACTATCTTTTATTTGACAATATATTAATATAATAAAATAAGTCATAGCCTCTATGTGGCAAAATAATGTTATAAAACTCAATAAATAAATCTTATAAGACTAAAAATACATCAAAATATTAAACCTATAATACTTTACAACATTTATATCACTGGAACTCTCCATATGTAAGTTGATATAATAGGCAGACTATGGTAAAAAGATTATTTAAATAATTATGGTTCTGTGAAAATTTAAATGATAAATGGCACAAAATGTTTCAAAAAGGGTAAGTGATTGAGATCTAGAGTAAAGTATGAACGGCTATTAAACGGAAAATTTTGGAATTTTCCAGGTTGCAAACTAAGTATGTAAGTTTAAAATAATACTTTCGGCAAGTTCATAAAAAAAATTATCACCTATTATAATACACGGAAATCATCACCACAAAGTCAAAAAAATCAACATTTTAATGCTTTACACTGGACACCAATGTCAGTACATTTACACTCTAGACACGGTCCTGATAATTCGGAAATAATTCGGCCCACTCTATACATCCTACCGTAAATATTACAACCAGCCAATTTTAGTAACCCCACCCCCGGAGGCGGCGAATTAACCACACTGTTTAAGTTGTTTGGTTTTGTTTTATTCTTTGCTTTTTGTCGTTTGCTATTCTCTGTAGTTTTTTCTAGTGGTTTTGGTTTCTGAGTGGTAGATGGCGCTGGTGGTTTCGTTTTAACAGTTGGTGGAAGTATAGTCGATGGTTTTATAGTCGTGGTATCTTCCTTATCTCCTGAAAAAAGCAACTGAAGGACTTTATCCAAAGAAAACTCGTCCTCTTCTACGTTGGTTTCATTATTTATTTTAACAGTTGTTGGAGATGCAGTGGTGGTAGTTGTGGTTGGGATGGGTGTTGTCTTTCGTGCCAAAAACGGCATCATATCCACTATCAAAGACTGCAAGTCAGGTGCTGGCTCTGTTCTTATAACATCCCTAAAAGGATCATGAGTTGATACTCCTTCAGCTACAGTGACAACTTCCTGAGAGTTTGAGATGTTTTCCAGGCGATCTAAGACTACAGTCGGGGCTTCTTCGTCATCTAAAACAAATTATAAATGACCAGAAACAATAGTTTTTTAGTCCAAAATACCACAAACATAGCTAGGGCAGCACAAACTCAAATCCTGTACAGTAGACACTCTACAGCTCAGTCGTGGTGCAGGAGGGCATTCAGGTTTTTGACAGACTATATTTCCGTAAAAACAAGTACATGTTGTACATGGCAGATCGGAATTAGTCGGCATTCCATGTGAAATCTTCCCCGAGTCAGTCAGGCAGTCAACTAAAATTACTTTTAAGTTTTGGTTACGGTTTTTTTAGGAGAACTTACGTTCAGTAGATTTGGGGGGGTTAGTTATCGACGGCATTGTTACTGCGTTTTCGTAGAAGTTGTCCAAGATTGGGGCTTCTTTTGGAACAAACCCACCTAGAAATAATCAATCTTGAAAAGCACTTTTAAAAATTATCGTTTCAAATACCTTCTGTTTCGCTGGGAGGAGAAAAAAGGTTTGAATAGCCGAAAGATATATCTGAAGAAATTCTATCCTGTGGATAAATATTATTATCTTTAGCTATCTGGTTTTTAGAGTCCAAAGCATCTGCTGCTACAAACGGTATAATCCTGCAAAAAAAAATGACAACAAATACTAAAAACATATTTAATACATACTTTAAGTTTGGCAATGAAGGTGGCAAAGACGGTTCATTATAATCATAATCATAATCGCTATCTTTATGCTTGGTAATATTCAATATGGCTTCGATATCAGGCTGCGATTTCCCCAAACTTTTCATGGTAACACTGGATACTTTAACCCTACTTTCCAAGTCAACCTCTGTAACATCACCATTTGTAGTAACCTCAGATGAAAAATCATCCGTTGTAGTGTAATAACTTAGTGTTTTCAGTTCTGCCAACTTATTAATTTCGTTGGCATCCACTGGAAGAACGGTGGTGAATTCAGGTTTACTTCGTACGTTATGTAAGATTGTGTTGGTATTGTTTAAATTATCAGTACAATCAGTAGAGTTGGTGACTGTTTTTACTGTTACAATGTTGTTTTTAACTTCATTTGAGTCTGTAGTAAAATATTCTGTAGTGGAATTGTCGGATTCATCAGTGAAATTGTCAGTGGTCGTAGTTATATCTAAAGTGGTTGTTGATTCATCTTTGATGGTGGTATTATCATCATCAATTGTAGTAGTTGAGGTTTCCGTAGTCTCCGTTGTCTCATTTTCAACTTTTCTATTGAGTCTTACATCAAGTAAAGAATCTACGATGCTTAATAAACTCTCATCACTTAAACCTAGGTAGTCAGATGATCTTAACTTTTCTTCCTTGTAAGTTTTTGTTGTATCTTTTAAAGGTTTATTAGTTGTTGAGAATGGTCTTTTAAAATTCTTATTTTGGAATTCATAGTTCGTTGTGGCATAGTAAACATCTGGCCTTTTCTCTGTATAACTTCTTGTAGAATGCTTATTGTTATTATTATCCATGGACACAACTTTAGAGTAATAAAAAGGTTTCACAGTGCTAGGATTGAAAGTCAACCCAGTGAAATGCCTAGTCGTACCAAATGATCCAGGTAACCTTGTTTTAAAAGTCTCTGAAGATTCAGCGATAACATAATAAGGCATATTAGTATTTTCAGTGACAGCTGTTTTTTTGGAAGCAACCAAAGGCTTTCGCTGCTGAACCTCCTTACGTAGCTTTGCGTATTCTTTGCTTACAGTCGGGAACTGACCGTAATGGGGTTCTGCCTGGATTTCTATGGTACCACCTTAAAAAAATCATTTAAAGTATGTTTATGATATATGATAAAATACTTACTGCAGTTATAACTAGCAGCACAACACTCCCCAGGTTTAATAATTGGGCTGCAGCCCAGTAAGGCTGGAGCACATGATAAGGGTTCACATCTTAAAATACCTCTTATGCAGTAACAATTATCGCATATGGAATGACCCATACCGAGCACTTTACCGCCTTCAAGGTAATGCATGTTATCCACAAGGCATCCACCTAAAATTTTATATTAGTTTTAGTTTTTTCGTGATTAGATTGTACCTTTGTTTGCTACAGGATAAGGTTTCATAGTGGTGGTAGTAGAACTAGTGGTACTACTGAGTTCAAGCCTTCTAGTGCAGTTATATCGTACAGGGCAACAACTAGTGGGGTCGTTAATGGGTGTACAACCTTCTATGGGTAGTAGACATTTAGGTTTTACGCAGGTCTGCTTGCCAGCTAAACAATAACAGTACTCGCATAGAGTTGATGAGTCCATTGCTGAACCAGGGCCATATATACTTCCATTAACAACACAAGCTGCAAAAATATTATTAAAATTATTTCAATATGTAATATAATAATACCATTTCTTAATATTTTTCTATCATATATCTCAATCCCATTATCATCAGGTTCTGATCTTGCTTCCAAAGTATTTCCACCGCTTGGCATTTCCGGACAAATTAATTCGCTACAGCACGTTCTGTATCTGTGCAATAAAATGCAACCAGGCGGTGGAGGGTTCGGTAATTTCGGGCAGACTCTCAGATAGCAAAGCAGCACGCCTTTGCTACACGTGCAGTTTAGGCAAGGTTCGATTGTGGCCACTTCGATGCCTTCTTCGTGTCTTTCCTCTTCATACCAGCAATCTAAGTAAAAAAAGAACAATTAAAGTTACTACATGAAAGCGCAAAAAATGCTTCAACTTTTATTGCCTTTACAATACAGTAGATACAAATATACAATACAATATAAACATTAGGGCGGTTCTTATTTGACCGATTTGTTTTTAAAAAATATAAAAAAATGTATGCCTAACTTATTTCCTTCTATTGCCTGTAACAACGAGAAGTTTTCCAGATAGAGGATAATTTTTTAAAATTACTATTAATCTTTGAAAAAGTATAATTTTTTAAGAAAATGTAAAGGACATAAGTAACTTTTAAACAAAAATAAGGTCTTTTTTACTTTGCTTGATTATTACTTACAGTTTTTCATAAAGACTGTATAGAATCAAGTAAGTAAGGCTGGAAACAAGGATGACAAATTATATTCTGATCAGAGAAAAAGAAACAAACTTTAATTGGGCGTGGTTTAAACCAAGCCATTCGTAATTACGAACCATAGTTGCCAGGTTGTTTTAAATCAGAAGAGAACGATTATAATTATTTAATAAATAGTTCAATTTTATTTAAAAAAATAACAATATGTCAAAAATAATTTGATTTAGTTAATTTTCTTACTTTTAATATTAAAAAATAAGAAAAACAACCCTTTTAGGAAACAATAATAGCATATGGCAACAGCGCGGCATGCAGCCAGATACAAGGGCATGCAGTTTGATCTACTACACAGCTGTGTTTGTTCAGTAACTCCGACGCTGTCGTAGGGAAATGTGTACTTATAGTTTTTAAGAAATACATTTTCGCCATTAACTGGAATTTAATGGATTTTAAACAATACTTAGTTTTTATTTGCAGAAATTCATTAAAACAAAACAAACGAATTCGATAAAAATAAAACCTATAAATTCTCAAAAAAAAAAATTCTAAAAAAACGAAAATAACTTTTTCAATCCCTACCACAGTGGGCGGGGTTTGGCACTTGTTTTATTTAAGTGTATCTATTCGTTTTAATACACACTGTATAAGGGATTTTTGCTTTAAAACGCAATAATTTTATAAAATAATTAAAATTAATTTTTTTAGAAAATGAAAGGAAAATATGGTACTTTTAAACAAAAAAAAAGAATTCGTGTATTTCCATCGTAAGGTCTTTTTTACTTTGCTCAATTATTACTATTATTGTTATTTTATTGAAAATGACATAAAAAACAAAATATCAGTGATAATTTGCATTTAATTCATAATTAGTGTGCTTTGAAACGTAATTTTGTACTTTTCTAATGTTGGTGCTACCTAAATATCTTTTAGGCAATCTTAAATTATTTGTTTTATAAAACAAATAAGCCTATAAGATATTTAGGAAGCACCAACATTAGAAAAGTACAAAATTACAATTATGTAAATAATGAAATTGATTTTTAGATTGTTTTCGAACAATTTATTTTTAAAGAAAGTAACAAAGTTAAAATGGCAAAAAAATAAACAAAATAAAACCCAGATAATTAGGTTTTTGGTATTGTTTTTGGAATTTCCCGACGCAAAAAAAAAGACTGTTGTAAACAATTTTTAAAATACCAAAAATCTAATTATCTGGGTTTTATTTTGTTTATTTTTTTGCCATTTTAACTATGTTACTTTCTTTAAAAATAAATTACATACCTAATTGTAATTTTGTACTTTTCTAATGTTGGTGCTCCCAAAATTTCTTTTAGGTAATCTTAAATTATTTGTTTTATAAAACAAATAATTTAAGATAGCCTAAAAGATAGAATAGAAAATTACGTTTCAAAGCACACTAATTATACGTTAAATGCAAATTATCACTGAAATTTTGTTTTTTATGCAATTTTCAATAAAATAACAATAATTGGATGAAGTAAACAAGACCTTAATATGGACATACATGAATTCTTTTTTTTTGTTTAAAGTTCCATATTTTCCCTTCATTTCCTCAAAAAATTAGAGTTCTTAATAAATTATTAATGATTTTATAAAATTATTGCGTTTTAAAACAAAAATCCCCTTTATGAAAAACTGCAAGTAATAATCGAGCGAAGTAAAAAAGACCTTAGGAAACAAATACATGATTTCTTTTTTTTTTTAAGTTTTAAAGTAACTTATTTCCTCTCCATTTTCTCAAAAAATTATACTTTTTCATAGATTAATAGTAATTTAAAAAAATGAATACATTAAAAGCAAAAATCATCTATCTGGAAAACAGGCAATAGAAGGAAATAAGTTAGGACGTTCAAGTTTGGCATACTTTTTTATATTAAAAAAAATGAGGGGGCGGCACGATTAAAATTTCGACATCGGTCAAATAAGAACCACCCTAATAAACATATCTCAAATTTGCTTTACTCAACAAATCTGTAAGGGCCATTTGTCTGACATAGTGTTTTATACTAATTGGGGGATGAGCCTGCATTTGAAAAATAAAAATAAAAATAAACTAATTATTCAATTTGATAATAATCATGCCTGATTATTATCAAACATGTTAAAAAACCCCACAACAGTTAATTGAATTGTACCGTACATTTTAATTAATTCCCCGCGATCAACAGGTGTAGCATTTTAAATTATAATAGGTACTATAGGATCGCGTGAACTTATGAAATATTTAAATTAAAAACTGGCCTTGCCAAACGCATTAATTTTATTGTGGCTAAACATATTATAACAAAGAGGGGAACGATGGCTATCAGCTTCGTAAAATTTTGCATTACATTTTTTTGCGAATAAGAATGGATAAGAGGTATAATTGGCCAGCAAGGCTGGACGAATGAGATTGATGGTATCAACAAGGTCTCAAGCTCCTAATTGAGTTTAATATAAGACAATGCGTTCGTTATACAATTAAATTTTGCTAAACAATACCTGATAATTACAAATATGTATGGCTATAGTTCTACAAACTATAGTTAAAATGAAATAGTCAAAATTCTACTATTTAAATTAGATCCAGCATTGTTTACTAATAAAATAATCGTTAGCACTTTTAAATAGTTATGTTTTACTATAGTTTGACTAGATAAGTCACCATCTTTAACTGTTTTTGAGAGTAAAAAGTACCTAATTTCTTTAATCGTTTTTAACTCTTGCCAACAACAAATTATTGTTTTCGTTAAATGAATGTAGGCTCCATGGTCAAATGGTCCATAAAAACGAACATTGATGCAAAAATTTAGCTCAAAACAGCAACGCAAAAAAGATATTCACCTTTAAAATATGATTAACAATATTTATAGAAAAATATAAGTAATTTTTATAAAAGTAGCAGCGATTAGGCATCCGCTTAACAACCGAGATACCAGAGTTTAAACCCCTGCTGGGTCAAAAACTTTTTTAAATTTAAACATTGGTACTTCATTTGGTAGAATTTGACCAATTACACTAGTTTACAAAATCGAAAAAAAATTTTGCCCATTATAACTTTTCCATTTAATTTGGCCCACTAAACACGAAAATCACACATTTTTTTAATGGAAGCGTTTTTTAAATATGAATTTTCAATTGTTTTTTTTTCAATGTTCGGGGGTGTTTTGATCGATTTGGTCTAAGAAGCCCTTTAATTGAAGGTTTTTGAGCTCTCTAGAACTTTCTTTTACATACTTTTGATATACACTATTGGACAAAAGTAAAGCAACAACTGTATAAAAAATCCAACTCCAAAACGCCTTTATTATTCTTTAAGAAATTTTGGATAAAAATACTTGAACTTAAATCTCAGTTTACGTGTTTAAGGGTTTTTTGAGAAAATATTTTTAAAGCCCATTTTTTTCAAGTAAATAAAAAATATTCTGTTAATGACCGTATTTTTGTTAGTATACTCTAAAAATTTTGTACAAATCAAATGAACAGTAACGAAGATACAGCGCTTCAAAGTCGGTAAAAATGACCCTTTTTTGATTATTTTGCTGAAAAGTGGTCATTTTTGACGACTTTGAATCGCTGTATCTTCGTTACTGTTCATTTGATACGGTATTTAACAGTATATTTTTTATTTACTTGAAAAAAAATTTCCGTAAAAATTATTTTTCGAAGGTTTTTTTAATATTAAAAAAATGGGCTTTAAAAATATTTTTTAAAAAACCCTCAAACACGTAAACTGAGATTTAAGTTCAAGTACTTTTATCCAAAATTTCTTAAAGATTAATAAAGGCGTTTTGGGGTTAGATTTTTTATACAGTTGTTGCTTTACTTTTGTCCAATAGTGTATATATTTTTACAAAAAAACAAGCTAATATTGATAAAAATACATGGAAAAATGGCGAAGTTGTGAATTTTTTAATGGAAGACCAAAATTCAGCCTTTTGACGATTTCTATGTTTATTCTTTAATGAAAATCTAAGTAAAGTGCATGATTGGAATTTGTTTAGTTTTTTACGTACTTTTTTCACCGAAAACATTATTCATAATTTAAATTTGACATGAGTCCACAAACGTGAATTCGTTTCTCGTGTTGGCATAGTGAAATTTTACTGCTATTTTTTGATATTTCAAAAAGGTATTTTTATCATGGTTTTATTTAGTTAATAAAAAGTGTTAAATGAGTAAAAGAAGTAGAGAGTTCGAGAGCGTAAATAACCCGGACAATCTGGGCGACGTAAGTGATGAGCACGGAGAACGTTTTTACCAGCAAATGAAAGCTATGGAGCGGCGGTATCACGGCTTCTGGGATGCAGCCACGATTGGTGATTACATTTGGTCCCTCATACGAGAAACGGAATACGAAAGCAACAAAAAACAAAGAAGGAGCCAGAAATTTTTTAAACCAAAACAAAATAAAACTTTCAATATCTTCAATTTTCAATAATTATTGTTCAATATTCAATATATAATTTAATTTCAATATTTAATGTTTAAAATAAAAATCAATGTTCAATATTAAATTTTATATAAATCAATAAAATAAAGAAAAAAACGTAAAAATTCTCTAAAAACTAAAATTTTGGTCTTCCCCTTAAAAATTTATAACTTCGCCATTTATCCCTGGATTTTTATCAGCAGCAGCTTATTTT